TTCAAACGATAGCTCAAAATCAAAGAATGAGTTACTTCACATAACATAAAACAGGCAAAAGCCCCCACGATTCCTCAAAACAGAGGCAGGGGCAGGAACAGGGGCAGGAACAGAGGCAGGGGCAGGAACAGGGGCAGGAACAGGGGCAGGGGCAGGAACAGGGGCAGGGGCAGGAATGGCAGAGCACGCAAACACACGGGTATAAAGGAAAGTAAAGGGTGACGTTAGACTTCTCTTTCAAAGCAGAAGTTCACCTTTAGACGACTGGAATCCAGGCGCAAAGCTGTGAGTAACGGATCCAAGGACTCAAACTCTGCAAGAACATGGCTGTAGGCTTCTGGTATCACTGGCATAAAAGTCATTTAACCAGAAAGATGAAGACCGTTCTGGAGTAGACACAGGGTTTCTCACTGGAAAAAAAAAAAAAAAAAAAGATTACCACTCATTCAACATATATTAACAGTCAACACAGAAAGAGGCAACCTTCTCTGGAAGGCTGGCATGGAGGGAGCAGGGAGACCTAGGTAGCAATCACACGCAAAAGTTCATTCACACTGCGTGAGTTTTAGGCCTTGATTTTTCAAGTCCCTCCATAGTCCTATCCTACTATACCATAGAACACTTTAAGTAAGGAAGATGGATAGAGAGGTCTTAAAAGGAAAACTGGCCACGCTCCTCAAAGGTAAGGTAGCAATCCTACTGTGCTTCTATTTCATAAATCATCTGTCTATAGGAAGCTTTCGGTAAGAGACAATGTCAAGGGTTGGAGAGATGGCTCAGAGGTCCTGAGTTCAATCCCCAGCAACCACATGGTGGGTTACAATCATCTGTAATGACACTGTGTATGAGAGACAGAGAGAGAAAGAGAGACAGAGACAGAAATCGTATTTCAAAAAAAAAAATATTTTAAAAAAAAAGAGTCAATCTCAAGCTGGGAATAGTGATGATTATCTTTAATTCCAGCAGGCAGATCTGTGAGTTCAAGGACAGCTGCGATCTACAGAGCAAGTTCTAATATAGGCTACATAGAGAAACCCTCTCTCAAAAACCAAAACCAAAAAAGAAAGAGAAAAGATTAAAGGATTAAGGCTTTAACAAAAGAAGCCAGAGAGGAATGAACAGAGGAAGAGTATAGGGCGGTAATTGCCAAATGAAACATTGTATCTATCCAGTTACCTTCAAGTATATTTTTTGTGGGGGGAGGGGTTGGGGATCAAATGTCACCAATTTCCATGGGAAAAGCGTTGGTGATCTTGTGGTGATCTTGTCGGTCTCTGTTGGACTCAAAGATGTCCATCTTTCATACGATCAAAAGCCATATTCGTGCCACCCAATCAACCCTGACAGGGTGCATGATAAAGAAGGAAGCACCTGTATTCTGGGCAGCGTTCACCATGGACACGATGCCAGGACCTTCAAGCTGAGGTCCTCGTCATCCCATGAGATTTTACTCCCCAGATGCACTTGTCACCACTGCCATGATGGTACATGAGGTTGTGTGCACCTGAGTCCCGGTATAGTTTCTGCGAAAGTCGGACGCCTTATAACCAAATCACTTCTGTGATCAGAGTGCAAAAGTTTTCTGCTGTCTTTTGAACTTTATCTGTAAACAGCCTGAAGGAGATGGGCCCAAGGGCTTGCCATCGATGGCCATGTCAAAGAACAGTGCGGAGCTGACCACGGCTGATGGCACATCGGCAGGTTCAAATCCTGCTACTGGTTAATTTTAACTTCTACCGCCGGCCATGTTAGTGACGGAGGAGCAGCAGCAGCAGAGGCAGCAGCTGAGAAGATGGCACAGTGGGTAAAGGGTTTGCTGCTCAGACATGAGGACCTCAGTTCGGATCTCCAACACCCACATAAAAGCCTGGCATGGTAGCACATCAAGGAAGACACATGATAATGCCTACCTTTTGCCTCCACATGCAAATGGGCATGACCACACACACACACACACACACACACACACACACACACACACACACACACACGCAAATTAAAAATCCATACCCATCTGTTTGTCTTTTTGCCTATGCTTTGTATTTTAGATGTACATCCATCTATTTAGCAAATCTATACTGAGCATCACTCATATGTTGGACATTGTTCCAGGAAATAGCAGAAAACAAAAGAAATGTCCTAACCTTCTCAGAGCACACCTTGCAGTGGTAAGACACACAGAAACATATAGAGGTGGCTTCTCTTACTTTTGTGGGATGAGAAAATCAAATCCAAGATCTTTATATACAGGGCATATGTTGTATCACTGAATGTGCCCTTGCCCGCTCTTGTGATTTTTTAAAATTACATACATGTAATAGAGCTTTATTCTCTGCTAGTAATGTGTTCTTATTACAACTTGACCTCTACAAGAATCGTATTTTACAGCAAGCAAACAAAATTTAGCATGACTATACTCAGTATTTGACAATTCCTTACCCAAGAAAATCTCTTCAGTCACGTATCTTTTTAAATGGATTTGTTTTTATTTTATATGAATTGATGTTCTGTCAGATCTCCTGGAAGTAGAGCTACAGACAGATGTGGACTGCCATGTGAGTGCTTGGAATTCAACTGAGTCACCATCTGGGAGGGCTCTTAACTGCACAGCTGCTTCTCCAGCCCCAGCCATTACCTTATAACAGTTAGTAAGATAACAGGGAGAGTGGCGAGGATAGGCTAAAGAAAGAAATCCCAGTCCCATCGCTCAGGAGGCAGAGGCAGGCGGATCTCTATGAGTCGGAAGGCAGCTAGGACTGTTTCACAGAGAAACCCTATCCCAAAAAACAAACAATCGAAGGAAGGATTCCAGAAAACAGCTCTAGTCAAATAAAGATAAAATCACAAATACCATACATATACACAGATTCACACACAGCTCTCATAAGGGGCCACAGTAAGTCAAGGCAAACGTCCGAAAATGGCCTAAGTGAGTAGAACTATTCCCGGGTCAGCTTTTATCATGGGGAAGGGAGAAGAGCCGCAGGTAAGCCTGAAACAGAGGCGAAGAGTGTGGACGGTCTTCAGGGAATACAGGTTTCGTCCTCACTTAAATGTGAGATGTAAATAATGCAACAGATGAAAATGTGACCATAACTTGGGCTCCAGGTACAAAACACTTCCGACCTTAAGCCGAGGAACATAATCATACGTAGGTGGGTTGGTTGCAGAAAGTCACTGAAGGGTTCAGTGTGGAGAGTTTATACTCTCCTGTAAAGTGCTATGGGCAGATGACAGAGAACATGGATTTAAAGTAAAGAGTGAGTTATGAAGATGAGGCCTTTCCCCTACCCTGAAAGTCTGTGGGGAAGAGAAAGCCTCTCTCTTGGCATTCCGACTAGAAAAGATACAGAACTGATTTGCAACCTCTGCTGTGCTTGAGCTTCACCTCCCATCTTCCCCGTCTCCTATGACGTAATGATCCTGGACTGTCCTGTTCCTCCCTCCCATAAATGTGAACTTCTGTAGTTTCAATTATGCTGTCCCCTGAATATTCTTGAACCAATAAGCCCTACTTTTCCAAACAGCCCACTTCAAACATTACTTGTTTGCTGGCAGATTTAAAAAAAAAATTCTTTTTAAATCGCTAACCTCGTATAAGTGGGTGGCAAATGATTGCCAAAAGTCGGTGAATATCTAACATCTTTTTAAAAGACTGGCTTTCCCAAGGGTCACAACGCTCACAAAAGTAGGCTTGTCAGTAGAAAACGCGAGAAAAGGAGGAAGGGAAGGAGGTCCCACGAGATGGTGTATTGCTGTACAAGCCTGTGACCTAACTTTGGTCCCAAGAACTCACAGGAAGATGGAGAGAACCAGTGACAGCAAGCATGCCACCTTCTCCCCCAATGACAAACGAAAGTGGAGCACACGAAAGAGGGAAACGGCACTTCCCCGGATTATTCTGATGATACTTCAAGAGTGGTAGACGATGATCGCCGCTCACCCGGCCAATGCAAATCACAACGCACTTGGTCCAGCCGGGCGAGGCGGCGCAGGAGAGGGGGAGGAGAAGAAAAAAAAAAAAAAAAACCCGACAGAGACAAAGGCACCATAAACTGAAGAGACCGCGCAAGAGGGGACTGACAGACTCCTGCAAGAGAGTCTATCCTCCTCTTCCAGAAGTCACGGTCAGAACTGACGACCCGCTCAAGGCACGCACGCACGCACTCGCTCACTCCACCCCGCGCTGCGAGCGCCTACCTGGCTGGCCCTGGGCTGGAGCAGGGAGACCGGCGGGTGCGTGCAGGGCGAGCGGCGGAGCGGTCGCTCCCTTCACTCCGCAACTACGCTCCCCAGGCCGCCGCGGAGGACAGAGAGCAGCGCGAGCGAAGCGGGGCTCGCGGAAGCGCAGGCGGCGACGCCGGCAGAGGCCCGGGAGATCGCTTCCGCCCCCCGCCGCGCGGACCGCCCTGGACGCGGCGCCCCGCCCCTCGCCCGCGACGTCATCCCTGGGCGCCAGGCGGAGGGAGGGCAGAAACGCTGTTAACGGCGCTTCCTCGTCACGTGGCGCGGCGGCCCCGCCCCCTCGGGCCGCGGTCGCCATGACGCTCCGGGCGGCCCAGCCTCGGGGCAGAGCGGCCGCGGCCCGAGGACGCGCCGACCGCCACGCGGGCCCGGGCGCCCTCGAGGGCGCGGCCGGCGAGCCACCGCGGGATGCCCGAGACTCTTCGCCGCCGCTCGGGCCCGCAGACGGGGCAAACAAAGCAGGCGGGCATCGGCGCGGGTAGGGCCGGAGCCGGCGCGAGGTGTCATGGCGGCCGCTCCGGCGGTCACGTGGCCCCCCGAGGGGGGAGGGCGGGGCCACGCACGCCCCGGCACTTCCGGTCACGTGCCCCTCGGCGCCCTCGCAGCCAGCGATGGAGGCCGGACCCCCCGGCCGCAGAGGCGGTGGCTCCGGCTGCGGCCGCTCGGTTTCGGCCTCGCAGCGGCTGTGAAGAGCGCGGTGGAGCCGAGCCCTGGGCCCTGGGCCGTGACCGGGCGTGGCTCGCGGAGCCCAGGCCGGAGGCCGTGGCTCCCAGCGGGTGAGTCCGGGCGGAAGGATGGGGGCGGGCGGCGAGGGTCTGACAGGCCGCGGGGGCGGCGGGCGGCGCGGGCCCCGGCGTGGTCGTCTCCACGCCCCCGCGGGCTGGCGGCGTGCCCTGCCCTTCGCGTCCCGCACTGCGAAGGAGGCGCCCTGGCCCTTTAATCCGCTGCCTACGGGCATCCCCGTCCCGTCCTGCCGCCCGCACTGGGGCTCGGGGGGTCCGCAGGGTCAGACCCGCCCTCCCGGGGACGGGGGACACTTCGGGGTCTGCGCTCTGCTTAGTGGCGGCGTGCCCTTTCGCTCCCCACCTGTCATCCCGCTCCCGAAACGGTTGCTAAAGCGGGGACCACGCACCCGGGTTTTTGTTTTTTTTTTTTTTTTTTTTTTTAGTTTTTGACAGCCGTTTGTAATGGGAAGTAGACGATCAGTAGCTGGAGGAGGTGCGTGGTTGCCTCCGTAAGCTCTCGAGGGTTTCCCTGAGGCTAAATTACGGTGGAAACGGCGCTTACTTGCTCTTGCCGTCTGTAAAACGAGGGTGGGAGAAAGATGTTAAAACTTTTGCCCATCGGGGCGGTAAGAGGGTTGCTTGCTCCGAAGCCTGAGTTCCGTCCCTGGGACCCACGTGTTGGCAAGGAGAGAGCCGATTACTGGAAGTTGTATCCTCGAACATACACAATTTAATCTTGGTTTTTGAGGTTTTTTTGTTTTGTGTTTTGTTGTTGTTCATTCAAATACCCCAGTTTAAAATAAGGTAAGACAGACAGGTTTGTGAGTCAGGAATGAAGCTCAAAGCTAAGACTGCTTGCTGGACCTGTGTAAGGTACTAGATTTCATCACCAGAACCAACAAAGAAAAAAAAAAGTTAGGACTGTGTGTGCAGCTCAACGTAGACTGATTGGTAAGCAAGCAGGCCTGGGTACAGAAAACGAAAGAGTTTGAAAAACACCCTAAGGTCTGTTCCAGACACTATTCTCAATATCCAGACTTTTGATTTGTTTTTTTCAGAAAAGCTTTCTCTGTATTGCTGGTTGTCCAGGAACTTGTGTAGATCATGCTGGCCTCAAACTCAGAGATCCACCTACCTCTGCCTCCCCAGATTTGGGAACCAAAGTCGTGTACCACCATGCCCTATCCCAGTATTGTGATTTTTAAAACATTTTAAAAGAAGTGGAATGTTTCTGCCATGAATTTTTGCCTGGAATTCAAAAAAAAAAAAAAAAAAAAACAAGGTACTACAGTTAAACTGAATTTAGGTGCACTGGTATCCTATGCCTAAGGGCAGGCAACTCCTAAAAACACAGTTTGAAAACCACTGAGTCAAAGTTGGCAGCCTTAAGATTCTTAAAAGCCAGAACTAGAATAGTCACACGAAGAGTTCATAATGCAAGAGAATATAACCTCTAGTGTCATTCTGATGGCTTGTAAGGACAATTCTAGAAAGAATTGTGTGCCTATTAGCAAACCTAAGGCCTTTTTGAAGCAGGGTGGTCTCCCCAGGGTAGTACAAACTGGCCTCGAACTCCTAGCAACCCTTGTTTCTGCCTCCCAAGTGCTGGGATTAAACCACCATGCCCAGTTTAAATCATCTGCACTTAAAGGGAGAGAGCCATCTGTTGTATTTACTTGGCCAACTGAGCAGTGCAACGGATTGATGGATTTTAATTTCTCTTATAGAAAGTACAGTTTGAGTTTGAGGTATTTTGAGAGTAGCCAGGGCTACATAGTGAAACCCTGTCTCAGAAAAAATAAAAATGTAGGCAGTTTTTTAACCCCTTCCCAAATAACTGACTATGAGAATATAAATTATAAATGCTTGGCCAATAGCTCAGGCTTGTTACTAACTAGCTCTTACAAATCTCTATTCATCTATATGCTGCCCCGGGGCTCGTGACTTTTACCTCCATTCCCTTTCGTGTCCTCACTCCTTCATCTGGCTGGCGGCTGCTCTGACTGCCCTCCATCACATCATTCTCATTTTGGCTCTCCTGCCTAACTGTATCCTGTTCTCCTACTGGCCAGTCAGCTTGTTTACTAAACCAATCGTAGCAACATATATTCATACGGTGTACAGAAGGGTTATTCCACAGCAGAAAAGAAAGAGAAGGGAACACAAAGGAGTTGTGGGTTCTTTTTTAAAAAGTACTTGGAAGATTCTTGCAGTTAAAAAATCAGTTAAAAGTAGTAAAGCCCTGGGTGTGGTGGTGTATGCCCTTTGATCCTAGCACTGGAGTTCACTTAATACTACTGTTATCAGCCACTCCTATTAGCATGCCGTTTTTATTAGTGGGAATTCCCTGTTCCCTTCTATCGTGCACTTAGTATTTTCCTTAACACTTCACTGTGAAACTATCCTTACAATAATAACAGTCCATTTTTGCTTCCTTTTAATTTTTGTGGTTTGGTTTTGTGTGGGGGTTGGGGTGTCTTGCATACATGTATGTCTATGTACCACCTGTGAGTCTGGTGTTTGAGGAGGCCAGAAGAGAGCATCAGATCCCCTGGAACTAAAGTTACAAACAGTTGAGCCACCACGTGGGTTCTAGCAAACAAACCCAGGTTCTCATCAAGAGCAGCAAGTGCTCTTAACTGATCAACCATCTGTCCATCCCCATTTGTTTCCTTTTTACATACTTCCAAGGTGTGTTGTTGTTTTGTTTGGTTTTGCTTTTCCAGTCAGGGTTTCTCTGTAGCTTAAGAGGCTGTCCTGGAACTCAGAGATCCTCCTGCCTCTGCCTCCCAGTGCTGGGATTAAAGGTGTCTGCCACCACCACCCAGCTTACTTCCAAGTTTTCATTTCCTATACAGTTATTGATAATAAAAAAATTTTTTTATTGCTTTATAGCAAGCGTTCTCAAGCTCTTATCACTCTGTTTTCTTTAAGATAGGATTGTACTAGGTTTCAAGCTGCCCTTGAATGTGGCAATTCTTCATTCTGACCTTGATATCCTGGGCAGATATCCATGTCTTATTCTAGTAGATATAGCTCACTCTCACAAACCTCCTTCCCAGGAAGCAAGAGTGGTAAGGAGTTAATATTTCTTATACTTTGGAAGAAGAGGTAGGAATGGAAATCCAGAGGCAGTAATTAACGATTACTGTTCAATCATTGTAAACATTTCCTAACATTTCTTTCTAGGGCAGGATGTAATTTTGGGACTCTTTATGAGAAATGACACTCTGGTCTATGAATGAAAAACTGTAGTATCCTGTAATTGGGTTGAGGATGTATGTGCAATGGTTTCTTGTGTCTTGGCAAAACTAAATTCTTTAATAAAAGTTTTTTCCATGTCACAAATACATATTTGACCCTTCCTAGGATTATGCTGGGTGCTATCTTGTAATGAATACAATACATTGAACCTTGATGTCTATTAAAGGAGACATACATGTTTTTTCACATATATAGTTAATGCTGGAAGTTAAAATACAATTCATATGATCCCATAGTTGTTACAGATTTCATGCTATGATTTCCAGTGTGTCAGAAACCTCTGGAAGTTAAGAGAACTATTTAAAGTATGCACATATCCTAAACACCAAATTGGGCTGCTGGTTCCGAGAAACATGAAACAGCACTATTAAATGTTTCGTGCCTGCTTCAGTGATATTAGGTCTGAGGAGAGCTACCTAAGTGGAACTTTATTCGTGGGTTCCATTTCTTAAAAAACATGGTACTATGAACCCAAACTGCATTTTCTACACTTACCCAGTGTGACCTCTGTGGCTTTAAACTAAATGGTGCTTTGTTTGTGGTGGAATTTTGAAGTATAATGCTTATGGTTTAAAAAAAAAAAAAAAAAGATGTCTTAGTAAAGTTTTTAGTCATGCTTTTACACTGTAAAATATTAAGGAACTATACAGCACATACACATTCGCATTGTCCTGAAAAGCAGTGCATCTTTAATTTTGTATATTTACTTATGACATCTTGACTCTGGAGACTACTTTGTGTCGTCCCCCACTTTTTTCATTAAATGATTTTTTTCCTTTTACTGAAAAGAGATTTTCTCCACACATAATATATCCTAATTACAGTTGCTTTTCCCTCTGCCCCTGCTCCTTCCAGTCCCTATCGGATCCACTCCCAAGTGATAATAACAAAATAAAATATAAAACAAAAACTAACACATCAGAATTTGCCAAAGCAAACAAAAGGAACAGAGCCGGAGAGAAGGCCCACACATTCACTTCGCACACTTTGGAACCCATAAAACACTGAACTGGAAGCCATAATACACTCAAAGGACCCGTGCAGACCCACGAAGGCCCTGCATGCTACCTCAAGAAAATTACTTCAGTAAAGGTGCACACCTTTAATCCTCACATATCTGTGAGTTCAAGCATAGCCTGGTCTACAGAAAGAGTTCCAGGACAGGCAGGACTGTTATACAGAGAAACCCTGTCTCAAAACATGCCCAGCACCACAAAGTAAGTGATAAGAAGAGAATATCAGAAAACGGTGATAACTTCAGAGATTAGAATGCACTGAAAAAAATTAATGAAATCAATTGATGGAAGAGACAAAAATGTATCAGTTCTGGGAACAAAGTCATACACATGCAGCTTCAAGCAAGGTCTTAACTGTAAAGAAGTCTTATGACAGATATTCCATAAAATAACACATCTCTTCATTGACCGTGTCAGATTTAAAGTAGCCTACAGCAATATTTTCCACAAAAGAAACACTGTGACTCTTACAGAGTTGGTTGGGAAGGACTCAAGGAAATTCCTCCAGTGACTCTGAAAATCACAGAAGCCATTGTAGGGTGGCCCCAATGGGTCTATTAGCTCTCCCTAAGGTGTCCTCTTTACACTTAACAAAGATAGTATAGATGGCCAGAGAAACTTGGCAGCAAATGACAGTTGTGCCCTGTGTTCACTAACTATCTCTGAATTCTTAAATTTTTTATGGGGAGGGTTAACCCAGGGCCTAGAGAATGCTGGGACAACACTCCCTCTGAGCTGCATGCATGGCGGGCCCTGCCTTAAGTAGGTTTTACTGAGACGGTTTCTGTGTTAGGTACTGGGAGTCAGTTCCCTTGACTTCAGGCTCTGTCTTCACCCGTTGCTGCTTTACCTTTCCCACTCAGCCTGTGCTCTAGGCTGGCTGTGCTGGTGCTCTTCTTCAAACGAGTGGTTGCTGTTATTGTGGTGATTAGGTGGTGACTGACGCTCCTAACTCCTCCCATCTTTCACAGGTTTTGATAGATGTTTTCTAAAATGTGTTTTATATAATACACAGTAACATTTTTCATTCTGTAGTCAGGGTGACTATAAATTTTATGTTTTTCCTAGTTTCTTGTTACAACAACTGTACAGAGTTGTCTTTAAGCATTTAACAGATGCCAGGCAGTGATGGTGCAGGCCTTTAATCCCAGCACTTGGGAGACAGGCAGGCAGATCTCTGATTTTGAAGCCAGCGTGCTCTACAGAGCAAGTTCCAGGACAGCCCCTCTACAGAGAGAAACCCTGAGGGGTGGGTATTTCATAGCTCCATAAATTTTACAAATTTCGTTTTTATAGAAAACTCAACTGTTGGATGTGACAGACTTTGAAGATCCCCCGTGGAAGGCCTCACCCTCCCTGGGGAGCAGAGAGGATGAGATAGGGGGTCGGTGTGGGCCAGGGGAGGATGAGGAGAGGGAACTGGGGTTGACATGTAAAACAAGATTGTATCTAATTTAAATTTTTTAAAAGTGTAATTAAAAAAAAAAAAGCCAGGTGTTGGTAGCACACACCTTTGATCCCAGCTCTCTGGAGGCAGGCGAGATCTCTTCGGTTTTCAGTTATCATCTTGTGGGATCCAGGGATTAAATTCGGGTCTTCAGCTCACACAATGCAAAAATAACATATTTTTTTGTAGAATATGGGGAGGGGGGAGTCAACTTATTGCCTATCCTTCTAGTGATACATGTAGAATATACATGATCTATGTAGTATAACTCTGAGGTCAGCCTGACAAAGACAGAAACCTAGTCCCACTTGTTGGATGCTTCAGAAAAAACATCTTGACATGTCACATCCATTTTTCTTTATCTACAAAACCTAGCTAACAATTGAGCCCATTTCATAAGATTATTAAGTTGGGGCTACATGACATTAACTAAGCCTGTACTGGCACTTTGTACTTCCTGTCATTGCTTCTTCCTCAAGACCCCTCCCCACTGCACTGGCCTTGACCCCTGGTCCTCCTTCCTCCCTCGCCATCCTGAGGACTGGGATTGCAGGCATCTTTCATAGCATGCTATTACTATAGAATTTCCATGCTAAAAGTAAAATTGGGGTAATATAAATCAGGAATTAGCTGTTTGAGAAAAGAAAGAATTGACTAGAAACAGGACTAGGGGAGCATTGGGGATGTTCCAAAAATGTTACCTGTGGTTTGGGTTGTGGTATGTAGGCTTATACGGTTTATAAAATAATGAGAATGCCTTTTGTTAGTTTGTTTTTATTTTACTTATTTTTAACCTACATTGATGTGGTTGATTTCTATTTCTTCCTTGCTCCTCTTTTAGCAACTTGTAGCCATTATGGCAACTTCATCTGAAGAAGTGTTGCTGATAGTGAAGAAGGTTCGTCAGAAGAAGCAGGATGGAGCGCTGTACCTCATGGCAGAAAGAATTGCTTGGGCACCTGAAGGCAAAGACAGATTTACAATCAGCCATATGTACGCAGATATTAAATGTAAGTCATATGTACTACATCTGATGTGGAGTTTGACAGTTTTGTATTTTATATTAGAAAAATTTGCAGTGGTGATTATAAAATTTGATCATTGACTATATAGTGTGCATTGCAGATTTACATAGTGTAAACCTACGTTCATATTAAAAATTTTTTCCATGTATTCTTTGATAAGTTCCATAATATTCCATTGAATACAGTCTGGTATATAAGTGTTCTTTCTTGAAAGACAAGAGATTATTTTAGAATTTTTTTACTACAAATAGTTTCACATTATAAAACTATGTGCTCATATCTTTGACGTTTTGTGGGTAGGTTAGTAGATGATGCTAGATTGTCCCTTCACCAAAATTTTACATTTAGGCAAGTTACCTAATTTTTTTATATGGCCATTATCTGTGGAAAAAAATATATTCAACTTTATGATGGAGGAGGATGGGAAATATACAGAAAGAGCTTTTGAGGTCACAATGTGGGGGAGGGGGACTATTGGGAATCAGACCTAAGGACTCTGCCTTCTGAGTGCACGCTCTACCACCAACTTACAATCTCCTGCCCAAGAACATTCAACTGTAGAGACCAAAAGGCTAAAGTCAACATATACCTTCTTTTTCCATATTTGCAAGGATATCATGGAATTTATTCAAAATGTGTAGTATTTTACAGTTGAACACTAGTCTTAAGTATACCAGAAATTTGAAATCTTTAATTTGAAAGCAGTTTCTACAATGCTAGAATCATCTAAACTGTGTGTGTGTGGGTAGGAACCTATTGTTTCCTACATATTAGACAAGCACTCTACTACTTAGCCACAGCCATGGCCCTTACCCAAGATCTTGAATTATGAGTAAGCCCAGAAGAGTCTTAACTGTAACCATTAGTATAGATCCACTTATTTCCCTACACATAAAGAGTTTTCTCATAGATAAAAGTCTTGTGTAGATTTCAAGCACCATGGTACTTCCAAAACCAGAAAGCTACAACGTTTGTCTATTGAAATAGTTTAGAATCTTAATTTTCCAAAGAAATAATATTCAAAACAATTCCTTTTGTAACCAGGAGCTACTTGCATTAGTATTACTTAGAAGTAGGAAATAAAAGACTAGGTGGGTGGTGCAAGCCTTTAATCTAGCACTCAAGAGACAGAGACGGGCAGATCTACATGGCAAATTCCAAGCCAGCCAGGGTTACATGGTGAGACCTTGTCATGTCCCACTCCAACCCCCCCAAAAAGAAAGAAGGAAAGGAAGTAGGAAATAAGCTTGATGTCTCATATTCGTGTGTGTGTGTGTGTGTGTGTGTGTGTGTGTGTGTGTGTGTGTGTGTCCACAGTGTACAAAAAGAAAGGAATATGCCAATCTCCCATTTTTCTACAATATAAGCTATTGAGTACATACCCCTATCTAGAGCTGTATCAGAACAGTTTGCATCTTAATTTACTGATGGGAAAATGCCCATTCTAAAAGAAGCCATTGAAAGTTATAAATAATAGATTATTCATGTGAAATGAGCAGTATTTCCTATTGTAATAGAAGTTGGCTAATAAAACCAAAGGATATGAGTTAAGAGCATGTATTGCCCTTCTCAAGAACTGATATCAGCTCTCAGCACAGCAGGCAGCCTACAAGTACCTGTAGCTCCAGCTCCAGGGGGATCTGATGCTTCTGGGCTTCATGAATATGTGCACAACAGGAGCTCAAACCAGAGCAAGGATGTAGCAGTGGCTGTGTACCCTGGAGACATACGTGTATAGTGAGAATTCAGAAAATTGCAGGTGTCCTTTAAACATCTGAGTATAACTTCTCTAAATAATGTATAAATCTCTAAACCAGGTGGTGGTGGCACACACCTTTAATCCCAGCACTCAGGTGGATCTCTGTGAGTTTGAGGCCAGCCTGGTCTACAAAGCTATACAGAGAAGCCCTGTCTCGAAAAACATAAAATAATAATGATAATAATGTATACACCTCTAATGTCAGCTCTTGGAGAGCTAAGGAAGGAGAATTACAAGTTCAAGGTCTAGGCCAGCTTTGCTACATAGTGAGACTTATAATGGATGATTGTAATAGAGTCCATGAGAGCCCAGGATAAAGGGAAGTCGGATATTTATTGGGGAGTCACTCACAATTGACAAATAAGATGGAGAACTGCCAGGATCTTTGGCCCAGAAGTGCTGGATGCTTCAATGCAATCTGCAGCTACCACCCAAGAGAAGAGGAACACGCTTCTGCTCCCCCTATTGGTTTACGTGTAACACCTGAAACCATACCTTAATGGACTGGTACCCAAAGGCTGATGGTGGAATGAGTTCTCACAACAATTCCCCTTTTTGTCTAAATAAGAGGGTTCTAAATGTAATACAAAACTATTTACAAAAACAACACATACCAAGGGCTGGAGACATGGCTCAGACAGGCATACTGGCTGCTCTTCCAGAGGTCCTGAGTCCCAGTTTCTAGTGGCTCACAACCATCTGTAGTGAGATCGGGTGCCCTCTTCTGGTAAAAGGTGTGCATGCAGATAGAGCGTGGAATGAATGAATGGATAGATCTTTAAGAGAAAAAAAGAACAAATATGAATGAATATTAGTCAAGAGAAAGATAAGGTTAAAAAAAACATACACACACAAAATTAGAATTACAAGCAACAACATAATCAAGCAAGAAACACTAAATATCCAGGCTATGTAATTTGCAAATAAAAAAGGTTATTCCAACAACTGTTCTATCCTAAGGAGTCTAAGTCTTATACCTAAAATGTCTTAGCTAAGATATGAAAGATAGTAACTGAGACTATCTAGTCTTCAACCCCATCAAAGACATGAGAAGGAAAATAATATTACCTGAGTAAGCAGGAAGTACAAGCAGGCAACTTCCAAAAAGTGCAAAATTTGGCAGCGACTGCTGGCTACCTGGAAAGTCAGCCAAGGTCTCACAGAAACAGAGGGCAACCAACTTTGACTAAGGCCTAGACTATCTGACAAACCATTGCCAGAAGCAGGAAGATTCGAAGGACTGACCTACTCTGTCTTGGCAAGGTTTTGTATCATGCTTGTTCAGTTTGAACATTATGCCTACTGTCAGCAGTTGAAACAAGGGCAGTTCTTTGCTCAATAGGCCATTTATGCAGAGAAGAAAACAAACTCCAAATGGAGTGTCTCCAGTGCCCAGCATTGTCTTGGGAATAGCTTGGTGCTGCCAAGAGCTAGTGTCATGTCAGTGGAGTTCCAAATTATCAAAACATTGAAATGCTATATTCTCTAGGTCTTTGAAGTATTTTAAGATCATAACTGTTTAGAATACATCTGTGTGCAACTAGAGAACCTGACTAATTTAGCTGGGTATGAAGAGCATAGGTGATTACAGCCTATAATTCCTAATACCTGTATAGCTTAAGGATAACGGTTTCACATATAAAATATGTGCAGCAGTGAGAACATTGACCTCAAATTGTAACAATATATATGTAAATGTCTTGATCAGAGACAGAAATCTATAGTGATATATTATTAAAATATTTTAAAATTGTATTAATATATAAAATATCTTAAGCATATGTAGAAATATACATAAAATATGACATAAATAATTTTCATGTTAGTGTGTAAAAAACATTGTAAACAGAAAGGAACATACACAAATGACAAATATAATTTGAAGTTGGCATCAGTATACAAGAATCTGAAATGAATGTAAATTGTCTATAACTAATAATTGCTAAAATAATTCACAAGTAGATACACTGATCTACCTATTATCCCTTCCATCCATTCCTTTTTCTTTTCGAAAAGATATTCCTGAAACTAAGCTTCACATTCCACCCCCAACCATATTACAACTTACAACCCTTAACAGGTGACAGTTGTCCATAACCTTGAAAAAAAACAAAAAACAAAAAACAAAAAACCAGCAACCCAAATGTTTAGAGAGGGGACATTGTTTTCTTAGAGTTACTTCCAAGTGTCTTGGAGACAGTGTTTTCTGTACTGGTTCCTGTAAAAAAGAAAAAAGAAAAAAAAAAAAAAAAACTAAACATGGTTAAGTCTCAAGAGGACTAGCTGTAACATTTGTAGTTAGTCTCTGATTATCGAGTAAGGCTTATCTGAAGTTCTTATCTGAAGCTCTGGCCAGAGTGTTGTAACGTGGACCATCTTAGCTAACTAATTTGGAATTGTGCTGAGCAGTTTTGGTCCAAAGCCAATCCTTGAGTTGTGGTTATCAGCTATAAGGCATCTCAGTGAAACAGTGGAATCGTCGTTATGGGGCTCCATCTTCTTTCTGTGAACTTGAGAGATTGCTGTCAGGAAATTTTACCATTCTCTCTGGAAAACTTAAGCATTATTTATATCAAAATGGAAAGTTTAAATTTTTATAGTTATGTATCCAAAGAAAGGTACCGATAAAGATGGAAATAAATATGGGGAGAAGCAGGATTTTGGTGAGAAACAAGGTTATGACACTCATAGTCTAGGCCAGCTTGGACTACAAAGTGAGATACATTCTGCCTGTGTGTCTGTGTGTGTGTGTCTCCCCGGGCCCCATACACAGCCATTTGAGAATCTGTTCTGTAAACGTGAGAACCCTGTGCAGTTTGCCACATTGCCATGAGTTGCCTATTTAGTGGGACAAAGCCCTCCATCTCTGATCCCTCTTTGAGAAAGGAAAAGCACTGTTGCCATGACAGCCATTTGTTAAGAACATAGATTCTGAGGCTAGAGAGACGACTCAGATGTTAAAGAAGAGTACTTGCTGTTCTTGCAGAAGACCCCCATGCCAGCTCCCTACCATCTGTAACTCCAATTCTGGGCTGGAATGCAACACCCTCTTCTGGCTTCTGCGGAAGAGACCATACACATGGTGCACATAATACATAGGAAAAAGAAGGAGCAAAGGCTCTGCTATATACATTTATTTAAGCACTTTCACACTTCATACGATGGTGTTGGTAATGGGGATGGGGTGGTGATGAGGAGGAAAATCTTGGACTAGGAATGTAGCTCAGTAGGTAGGGTGCTTGTGTAGCCCTGAGTTTGGTTGCCGACACTACATAAACCCAGTATGGCAGCACATCCTGTATCCTAGCACATAGTAGGGAGATGAAAGATCAAAAGATCAAAGTCATCTTTAGCTACAAATAGAGTTTGAGAACAGCCTGGGCTGTAGGAGGCCCTACGTCCAAAGAAAAAGGCCCACTGATTATGGGTTCTGGCCTCTTCCATGTACCACAGAGGGGTTACATCAAATGTTCTCAATACCTGTGTGCTTGGGATTTATTTAGAGACAGGTAAGTTTTTGCATTGCTGAGAATCAAACACAAGATCCTCATAGGAGATGAGCAAGAGTCCCAACTGCTACCGCCTCCCAGGTTGTTCCTTAATCATTCATGTTGTTTCTTTTTCTCCTATTAAAACACCTTTTGGCAGTGTCGTGTGTGTACAATGTGTTCGGGTTGTTTTCATTCCATTCTCGCTCACTCGCTTTTGTGGCTGCCTCCTACATCCTAAGCTCTTCTCTCAGGCTTGGTGTTATAGCCCAGGAAGACTGTCCTGCCTCCAACTCCAAAGTGCTAGGATGTCTGAGTACCTTGTCTAATTAGCTTCATGCTTCTTTTAGGCCAGAAAATCAGTCCAGAAGGAAAAGCTAAAATTCAACTTCAGCTCGTCCTGCATGCGGGAGACACAACAAACTTCCATTTTTCCAACGAAAGCACAGCGGTGAAAGAGCGGGATGCGGTGAAGGACCTCCTCCAGCAGCTGCTGCCCAAGTTCAAGCGGAAAGCCAACAAAGAACTGGAGGAGAAGAACAGGTGCGGGTGGAGGGGCTGTGCCGCCTCTCCCCTGCCCTCACCTCTCCCCTGCCCTCGCCTCTCCCCAGCCCTCGCCTCTCCCCTACCTCTCCTCTCCTCTCCCCTGCCCTCGCCTCTCCCCTGCCCTCGCCTCTCCCCTACCTCTCCTCTCCTCTCCCCTGCCCTCGCCTCTCCCCTACCTCTCCTCGCCTCTCCCCAGCCCTCGCCTACCTCTCCTCTCCTCGCCTCTCCCCTGCCCTCGCCTACCTCGCCTCTCCTCTCCCCTGCCTCTCCCCTACCTCTCCTCGCCTCTCCCCTGCCTCTGCACGCAGCCCCAATGCCTGCATCAGGCCTGCCTTTGATTAGGAGACCTGACAGGACAAAACACTGGCTCCCTGCTCTCTCTCCAGCTCTTACTATAGAAAGGTGCTAACTGTGACAAGTGTCTGTGAATAAAAATCCTGAAATCCCTGTACAGTGGGGTTTCAACTCGTGGGTCCCCCATACAGAGGGTACTTTTCCCTGTGTACCCTGGTCTGTGTTTACCCCCCAATGAAAACTTTTATTCAATTATTTTTAAGAAATAATTTAAAAGTCGATATTGTGAAAGATTGAGATAGAAAAGCTATAGAATTTTCTGGTACAAAAAATTATTTCATTTCTATCTGTCTCGGTTATTGGTCCTTGTAGGTCCTTATTGTCAAAGTGATGAATGGGCACTGGGAGCTCTGCTGTCCCTTGTCCTCTTATGGGTGGGAGAATAGAGGACTGTTCACATACAGAGTGGACTTTGTGTTGCAGATATGTGTAAGACCAATTCTTTGTCTTAGAAAAGTTAGTCTGCTTCTTCATACTCCCTTCCTTCCCTTTATTCGTACTTCATTTATTGCTCTAAAAATGAAAGTATTCGTGTAACTATCGCAGAAGTTTACTTACATTTACTGTCTCTGTCACCAGAATGCTCCAAGAAGATCCTGTTTTATTCCAGCTCTATAAAGACCTTGTTATGAGCCAAGTGATAAGTGCTGAGGAATTCTGGGCCAATCGTTTACATGTGAATGCAACAGATAGTTCCGCATCCAGTCACAAGCAGGATGTTGGCATTTCTGCAGCGTTTCTGGTATGTGACCTTTCTAGATCTCTGAAGGGAAAAGTAGGAAAACTTGAGTAGTTTTATAATAGGGACATGTAGGGCTTAGAGGAGCATATTTGTAATCCCAGCACTTAGGAGATAGAAACAGGAGGGTCAGTGGTTCAAGGCCAGTCTCGGTATCTAATTATTTTTCTATGGCTGTAATAAAACACTATGACCAAAGCAGCTTATAAAAGAGTTAAATTGAGCAAAGGTATGGGGCAGCAGACTGTACAACAGTGGCTGAAAGGCAGGGGGATTGGTGTGAGATTTTTGAAACTTCAAAGCCCACCCACAGCAAGGCCGTATCTTCTAATCTTCCCCAAACAGCTAACTAGGAACCAAGTATGCAGATGCCTGAGACTTATGAAGTGTCTCATTCAGACCACCACTCAGCTATGTGAGAACATGTCTAAAACAAATCAGAAGCCCTCTGGGTTTGGAGTGTGTGCATAAACACAGGCACATGTGTGCCGTGGTGTGCGTATGGAAGTCAGAGGATAGCTTTAGGTGTTTGTCCTTGACTTCTGCTTTGCTTAAGCAAAGTCTCCTTTGGGTTTCTCCTGCTCCACCTTCCATTTTCTTACAGCAGTGCAGGAATGACACACTTCCTGTAGCAGCCAGCTTATTTAATTAGGTTCTAGGCACTGATACCCAATCTTCCTATGCTTTACCCACTGAGTCACCGTCTTCCCAAGCCCAAACAAAAAAAAAAAAAAAGCCATTTCTCTTGAAAATTTTGGCATTTTCTTTGCAGTAAGTTAGTGAAGCTTTTGTTCTTTTCTGGTATAGTGGCACACACCTTTAATCCCAGCACTCACAAGGCAGCGGGCGGGTAGATCTCTGAGAGCTCAAGGAAGCCTGGTCTATATAGTGAGTTCCAGAGCACCTACCTCCTGAAACCCGGTCTCAAAAAGGAGGAAAAATTGTTGTCAATAGTAGTCTTCTAAAATAGTCTTTTAAATGCAAATAGTGTTTAGGCTGAGATAAGATCTTGCTGTATAGCCTTGGCTGGCCTCAAACTTGGAGCCATCTTCCTGCTTTGCTTCCAGAGAAGTAAGATTATAGCTCTGTGCCACATCCAGCCCTCATACTTTTATAAAATGATTGCTGCGTTTTACTCACAATACAGTTAAATGTAGAGACTGCAATTGTTTAGGAGAAAATACAACTATAAAACGTTTAATAGAAAAATTGGGACTGCCTTATCTTTTCAATTAGGAAATAAGTTTTTTTAATAGGAAAAGAATAAGAGCATTGTTTACTCATTCTCAAAAATTTGAATAGGAGGCCAGGAATGATAGTGGGCATCTGTGATCCCTGAACTCGGGAAGAAAAGGCAGAAGGATCTTGCATTCAAGGCCATCCCGTGCTCCCATAGAATCTCTGTCTCAACAGACAAACTAAACACTATGAGTAGCTCTTCCATATATTCAGTATGTTTCTGGGTGATTAGCAGTAAGTCAGATTCATAAACCCATTCCTAAGGAAGCCAGTTTGCCAGTGTCTGTTAACTACTAGCCAAGGTTCGCAGAAGTTTTGGCAACTATATGAGTTCTGTTTGAAAGCAGCAATTGATCTCTGATTTTGGCCGCTCTTGAACGTGTCTATTTAGCCAACTTGGACTTGAAAAGCATCTGGTAAGCAAGTCCAGGCTTCTTTGAGCCCTTTCTTTATGTATAGGGTTGGGGTATGGGGCTTGCTTTATCTTCAGTTTGCTCAGAAAGTCTGTTTGACCTCTGTATTATCCATTGGGAGCTTAGACATACTCCACAAATGTCTAACAAATGTATGTAAGTACATATATTTGTGATCTTTGTTTTAGGCTGATGTCCGGCCCCAAACAGATGGCTGTAATGGTTTGAGATATAATTTAACCTCTGATATCATTGAATCTATATTTAGAACCTATCCAGCAGGTAAGAAGAATCAGTTACTGATTTTTAACTTTAGATGATTAAAGGGATTGTTTGGGTGAATTCTATTTGTAGCCGTGAAAAGCCTCTTTTCCTGATTAAATACAACAGCGTGTGTAGTGTCTTTCCCAGTCCCTGACATGGTAGATGCTAAGGGTTCAGTAATTGATTCTGTCTCAGTGCAGTTATTAGTTCCTGCACGTGATGATTGTCATTCTTCCTATCAGTGGCTCTTCAGCACTCAGCACAGCCAGAATAAAATGGATGCTGCAGATTCCAGGAGCTGTTCTGCCCGACTCTAAGCTCACCTCACCTCTCATTGTGTCTTCAGAGTAACCTCCCCCCACCACCACCCATACCCTGACCTCAGCCCTGAGGGCTGGTGATGTGCAGCCAAGCGTGAGGAGGGCTGGTGATGTGCAGCCAAGAGTGAGGAGGGCTGGTGATGTGCAGCCAAGAGTGAGGGCCACAGCTTGCTCGTTCTCCGATCTCTCCTTAACCGATGCTCTTGTCTCACTTGCTCAGCAATGCCAGCTTGCCACCTCTAGGGCAATGGTTCTCAACCCTCTTCACACTTAGCGCCTCATGGAATTATTCCATTGCTACTTTATAAATTTCGCTACTATTGTGAATTATAATTAAATACCTGATGTGCAGCCACCAAAGCAGTCTAAACTCACAAGTTGGGGACCAGTGTTATAGAATATCAGCACAGATTGTAGTGCTTCCTATTCTTTTGGTTTTTCTGGTTTTTTTTTTTTTTTTTTTCAAGACAGCATTTCTCTGTGTAGCTTTGTAGCCTGTCCTAGAACTTGCTCTGTAGACCAGGCTGGCCTCGAACTCACAGAGATCCACCTGCCTCTGCCTCCCAAGTGCTGGGATTAAAGGTGTGGGCCACAGACGCCCAGCTGTGTTTCCTATTCTAAGGTCCTTTCTGTATGCAGTTAATCATCATAAATATTGTGTGAAGTGGGTACTGTTAATACTGTTCTAACAAGGAACTGAGGTACAAAGAATGGCAGGCCTAATGCCTCTCAACACTAATCACTAAACTGGAAGCTTCTAGGAAAGCTGAGTTGGAGGTGCCATGAGTAATAAAAATTTCCATTCTCCTACTAACTAACACTGCCTTATTAGTGAGGTCTGATTTCCAGGTTTGCTACCAAAAAAAATCTTCACAGTGTGTAGATGATGTCTATTGTTTGTAAAAATTCATAGAAGGTACCTCACCTAAATCTGTTAACATTTTATTCCATACTTATAATCCTATAGTACATGAGTATCATGAGACCTTTTAGTCTTTATCCAGTTCCTAATTTGGAAGGGTCTTAAGAACTAATTAGGTATCTAATGTGAGCTTTTTCTCCCCACAGTAAAAATGAAATATGCAGAAACCGTACCACACAACATGACAGAGAAGGAGTTCTGGACACGATTTTTCCAGTCCCATTATTTTCACAGGGACCGACTAAACACAGGATCAAAGGATCTCTTTGCAGAATGTGCCAAAATAGACGAAAAGGGTAAGTATCTCCTTGGCACCCTGGCATTCTTGACTATTAGAACTATTAATAAAAATTTTTAAATATTTCTGAGAAAGGTGAACTTTGAACCTGTGCTTTCATTGATTTTTCTAGGATTAAAAACAATGGTTTCATTAGGAGTAAAAAACCCAATGCTAGATTTGACAGCTTTGGAAGATAAACCATTAGATGAGGTAAGAAGTAATAATAACCTTTTCTTGCTTTTCAATATTGTTTATGTTTTAAGTATGCCCAAACTTGGATTATCCACTTGTAATGTCCTAAATAAAAAGAATACTGTTAACTTGTCAAAAGTGCTTTTCAGTATGCAACAAGCCCTGGGTTTGAGTCCCCATACTTTTAAAGGGGGGTGAGGACTTTGTTTTTTGGTACTGCTGTTTGCCATTAAAATTGTCTTAGAATAGGAATGAGTTGACTCAGTACAGGAAAGTGCTTGCTTCACAACCCTGACCACCTGAGTTTGAGCCCCAGAGCCCACAGTGGGAGGAGAGAACCAACTCCCAAAAGTTGTCCTGAGACCTCCACTTGAGTGCCCACGTTCACACACGTACGACATACACACATGCCCTAGAGAGCTGAGTATCTCTGTGAGTTGCTCAACCTTTTTAGAAATGGTTTTTGAACTTCTTATGAACCGTTCTCCAGACACTGGGCTCACTCCTTTGTTCTAGTAAACAAGCATACATCTGTTTGATTCTCTGCCAGCCTCTACTTGTATTAACCTTTACCGGCTATGATCCAAGGCCTCCTGCTCATTTCTTTGAATACTAATTACGTAATGATGAATCCTATATAGCCCTCATATAACTCCCAAGGTCCCAACTCATTTACCCAACTGTAAGATTGGTACTTACTACTGATATTTCCTTCTTTTTATGAGAAAAAAAAAATTTTTTTTTTTTTGTTTTTGTTTGCCTGCCTGCTTGTCTGAACGGGTGCCGTGTGTATGCGTGTGCCCATGAATGCCAAAAGAGAGCAGACGCCCTAGAGCTAAAGTGACAGACAGCTGTGAGTTGCTGTGTGGATGCTGGGAACTGGGCTGTTGCCCTTGCAGTGCGCTTAACCACTGAGCAACCTCTCTAGTCCCTCTACTTAGATAGTTCACATGCAGGGTGAAACCAGCATTTGATGACACTCGTGAGTCTGTTCTTGGCCCTTCCATATTCTCTTTAAAAAGCATTAACGTGTTCTTAGGTGGTGATCCTGAACCACCTCACCTCCAATAGTGTTGATGATGCTGCCTCATAGCTTCTTTATTTCCTGACATTAATGAAATGCAATTCACCAAATAATGACAAAAAATTTATACCTTGTGCTAAGGAAGGCCACTGAACAATAGTACGCAGACTCATGACAACTACACTTTGCTGAGAGCAGATTGATTGGCAATTGTCAAATGAAAAAAGTATTGTCTTTCTTGAAGATGAAATTGTGAAGGAAACAGGAAGGGTGGTATGGGTAACTGCCAGGGCTGGAGGTGGCTATTCTTAGACCTGGGAAAGCTGATCACATGCTTCAACTAACAATTGGAAAATATAATAAGACCAGAAGCTGAACCTGTATCTTCTTGTTTGTTCATTTGAACATGTGTATATATATATTCTACATGCGTGTACAGGGACAGGCACAACCTCAATTATTGTTCCTTGGCTTCTATCTACTTTTCATTCTGTTTCTTTAGACAACTGTGTGCATGGGAATGATGAATTTTAGTCATGTTCACCTCCAACACCCACTGACGTTCCCCCTCCTGCTGGAACCCTTCCCAATAAGAAATCCTTCTACTTTCGTGTCTTTTGTATATGGTGACCCCGAGTTTTGTCACGGTTTCTTTCGTGAAGGTGGTAGTTTATTTACTGGAGTATGGGCAGCTTATCAGCAACTATGCTAATAAAAAATTAACACTTCTTTCCCCAGAGGCATTTAACTGTCAATAGTCATGGGTTCATCCCCCTCCCGTGATGAAATGCGGGTCTTGTGCAGTAGCCAAATGAGCGCAATGGTGGCTTCATATCCAGATGTCTTTTTGCAGCATGCCTCTCCATCCTCCAGCTCTCTATCCTTTGTGCCTTTCTTCACAATGTTCCCTGAGCCTTAGAGGATGACCTATTTCAGGCAGGCTGCCATCCCTATTTTCAGCCCTTTGACCTCATGACCACCACCCATTACAGTGAGAAGCTTCTGCATATGTGTATGTAAGAAAATTAATGAAGGAAGGTTATAAATTTGGAAGAGAGCAAGAAGGAATATATGGGAGACTTGGAGGGTTAAAAAGGGAAGGGGAAATGGTGTAATTATATTGTAATCTCAAAAAGCGTGTGTGTGTGTGTGTGTGTGTGTGTGTGTTTTATATATTTTTTTTCTTTAAATTTTTTTGTTTTGTTGTTTTGGTTTTTTTGTTTAGTTTTTTTGTTGTTGTTTTTGTTTGTTTGTTTTTTTTGGGGGGAGACAAGATTTCTCAGTAGGCCAAGCTGGCCTTGAACTTAAGTATCCACCTGCCTCTAGCTCCTGAGTGCTTTGTCTTTTGGTTTTTTGTTTGTTTGTTTTGGTTTTTTTGTTTTGTTTCCCTTAAGCTTCTTTGAATCTGACAGCATTAGTATATGGGTGTGGACATGGGACATTCAGAAAATGGTTTAAATAGTAGTGGTTTCCCGCTTTGGACCTGTGATCTCCAACCACTAGCTCTCAGGGTTTCTGTATTCAGCATGAGTTGTTGCCTGTGGATCAGACCTGGGATCCACTCAGAAAGAAATTGATCACCCTATAATATTCATGCCACTATTCTAGCAATAATGTGATTGTGCCAGGTTGTTATTTGAGATCACTAATCTGAAAGTCCAGGCCAGGTCTCATTGGGTGGTGTGTGCTCAGTGGCAAGCAAGCCCCAGGCTCTCATCTGTTTCCATATCCCAGTCCTGGGGTTATAAGTGTGTGCTCCGTATCTGGCTACCCAGTATTTCATGATAAATCAAATTTTATCTTGATGTTTATTTTACTGAACTGTTTCTCACAGGGCTATGGCATTTCCTCCGTGCCATCTACTTCCAATTCCAAACCCATAAAGGAAAATAGTAATGCTGCCATCATCAAAAGATTTAACCAGCACAGCGCCATGGTCCTGGCTGCGGGGCTCAGGAAACAGTTAAGTACACTTGGAGACACTGTCACTGATCTTTCAGGGTAGCCAGGTGAGGCGGTAGAGGTGTGTTCAATTCCGTGGTTTTTAACATGAGCTTGTTTTCCATTTGTTTTTAAGACAAGCACAAAATGGACAGAATGGTGAGCCCAGCAGCATGGATGGAAATTCCGGAGATGCAGACTGCTTTCAGCCAGCAGTCAAAAGGGTATGGGCATCAAGTTAGGCCATTTGGGGATTGCATTTCTCTGGGTATAACGTATCTAAATTCTTTATATTGTTTTATTTTCTAAGGCTGGTTTTGATTTTAACCAAGACGTCAGCTAACTTTCCATTGACTCAATTCTGATCAATACTTTTTATTCAGTTTTTCCTTCCATATATATGTATATCTAGTATGTGCATGACTATGTTTTCTGAGGAAATTTTTTCAGCAAAGAAAGTTAATTGGTCCTCCCCATTAAACTGGTATTTCGATGTTAAAAACATCTTACTAAAAAGTCATTTGAGACAATGAGGAATTGTGATAAAAGTAGCTACTTGCTTATTATTTCATTTCTTTCTAAGTCCCTTCTCCTTTACAGAAAGGATACTTACTTAGAGGCCAGTCAAGCAGTACAAAGTGTTTAAAGGTTTATACTCTTTCACTTTTATACATTTATGGAAAAGATGGGCGTAGTGTACAAAGATTTAGGTAGAAATACTTATCACAGGACTGCAGTTGAGACAAAAGCAACAGTTTGGTGTCTGTGGCGTATGTATACTAATAAGTGAGGTCTGTGTGCATAGACCTTATAACTTTGTAACTTGGTTAGAATTAATGGGGCTGGGGGATAGCTTAGTGGTGAAGAGCTTACTGAAGATTCACAGGGTGCTGGCTAATTCCCCAACACCAGAATAAATAAATAATAAATAAATAAATAAAATTGTAGAGAGGAATAAGAACATATAAATGAGTACCATCTCTCAGTTACTGGTTTTTTGATAGCTTTATCAGGTTTGAAACACATTTTCAGATAGATATAGTAGGATATGTATGGCCCAATTCAAAATAGTGTTTATATTGCTTTGAAAAGAGCTCATAGCACCAAATATGGTAGTATACACCCATAATCCCAGCCTTTAGCAAACTGATAAAGGAGGGTCAAAAGTCTATACATCATACTACATATCGCTGGCGTACTTTTTTTTTTTTTTTTTTAAGCCAGGTATGGTGGTGCATGGCTTTAATCCCAACACTCGGGAGGCAAAGGCAGGTGGATCTCAAAGTTTGAGACCCACCTGGTCTGCAGCCAGGGCTACACAAAGAAACCCTATCTCTGGGGTGATGGGGAGAGCCTGGTTTGACCAGGATGTAGGAAAAAGTACTTCATGTTCATTATCAGTGAGAACACTGGCTTAGCCGTTTCTGGAAGGCTTCTTTTTTCATGCTTTGTGAAGTTTAGTTTTTAGTCACTTTCTGACAAAATTAAAAATACCATGTCAATAATTGTAGGCCAAGTTACAGGAGTCCATTGAATATGAAGATCTGGGAAACAACAATTCCGTGAAAACGATCGCACTGAATCTCAAGAAGTCAGACAGGTCAGTTTGGCTGATGGAAGGGAGACACTCATGCAGTAGTTTGTTTTGTGAGCTGGGTATGATCGTATGTACTGTGACCTCAGCGGGCGGGCGGACTGAAGAAGTAGGATCGATGCAAGGGTATCTGTCGGCTGTGCAGTAAATTGAAGGCCAGCCTGGGCTGATCTCACCCGGCACTCCAGTTCCAAGGGATCCAATCTACTCCTTCCCTTTTATCACAACCAGGCACAAATACAGTACATAGACGAACATGCACAACTATAAAATGGATAATTTTTTAAATTTTACTTGTACCTGGAATGCATCCTAAATGATTAAAGCCAAGAAAATTAATTTTTTAAGGGATTTATTATATATATACAGTTCTGCCTTTATGCCAGATCTCATCATAGATGGTTGTGAGCCACCATGTGGTTGATGGGAATTGAACTCACAACCTCTGGAAGAGCAGCCAGTGCTCTTAACCACTGAGCCATCTCTCCAGTCCCCGAGAACTAATTTTTATTACACTTACTAGTATGTGTGCATGTATACAAAAGTGTGGAAGTCACAGCAGCTTGAGATCTTTTCCCTTTTCCCACTAGTTTCTCAGCTTAGGTATCTGGCATGTTCCTTTACCCTGGGAGCCACTTTACAAGCTCAGATTATAAGGGCTGGAGAGATGGCTCAGCAGTGAAAAGTGCATGTTCTTACAGAGGACCCCAGCTTGATTCCCAACACCCACATCAGGTAACTCACAACCACCTACAACTCCATCTCCAGGAGATCCACTCCACCACCTTTGGCCTCTACAGGCACATACCTACCCACCACCACATGACTAAAAATAACAATTCTTAAAACAGAGTAATAACAAGCCGGGCGTTGGTGGCACACGCCTTTAATCCCAGCACTCGGGAGGCAGAGGCAGGTGGATCTCTGAGTTCGAGGCCTTCCTGGTCTACAAGAACTAGTTCCAGGACAACCTCCAAATCAATACAGAGAAACCCTGTCTTAAAAACCAAAAAAAGAAAAAAAGAGTAATAACATTTTAAATTTCCTTAAATGTAGTGTCATTTTTTGCCATGAGGTAATGTTTTATTGATGCTAAAATATTTGAAAGACTGACTGTTTATTTCTCCTGTGTTAACCTCCAGATATTATCATGGTCCTACTCCAATTCAGTCACTACAGTATGCAACAAGTCAGGACATTATTAATTCTTTTCAAAGTATTAGACAAGAAATGGAAGCTTATACACCCAAGTTAACTCAGGTAGGTTTAAAGGCCAGAATTCTTGTAGTGCTCCATGAGGTTATGAGCTTAGCGGGAGTGAACTGTGTAATGGAACAAACGTTTGTTTGTTTTTCTTTCTACTGGGTTGCATAAGGCATTTTCATACAAATTTATAACACAAGCTAAATTGCATGTGTCTGTAAAACCAGGACCCGTAGATTGGGAAACTGAGAGGCAATGTAGTTGCATAACTCCAAGGACAGCCTGGGGAGTCAGTTCTCTCCACCATGTGTGTCCTGGGCATTAAACTCAGGTTTGTCAAGCTTGCCAGCAAGCACTTCTGCAAACTGAGTTGTTTGTTTTAAGGTTTATTTATTATTAATGCAGTGTTGGGCGTGCATTGCCTGCAGGCCAGAAGAGGGCACCTTAAAGATGGCTGTGAGCCATCATGTGGGTGCTGGGACTTGAACTCAGGACCTGTAGAAGAGCAGTCAGTGCTCTTAACCTCTGAGCCATCTCTCCAGCTCCCAAACTGAACCATCTTGTTGGCACTTATGTAATATTGTCAGTCCATAGTTGGATATAGAAAACTAAAATACAAAAAAATCAAAATTGTGGAGGCCAAAGAGATAGTTAAGAAGTTCAGAGACTACTAATATATGCTACTCTTGTTTCAAAGAACCCACAGCCACTTGTAATGCAGAGAGAGAACGCGCACACAAACACAAAGTAGTAGTACAAACAATGTTTTTCAGAGGTTCTGTTAAGGGATCTACTGTATTCCTGCCAGATGGGTTTCCTGCACAGACCATTTCTAGCCTCAAAAAAAAGTGTTTCACTCTGGTTGCTATGCATAATGTATTTGCATAGGGATAGAAACACTGTTGAGGCAGACCTGATTCATGACTTTCAGGTTCTCTCAAGCAGTGCTGCTAGTAGCACCATCACAGCCCTGTCACCTGGAGGAGCACTTATGCAGGGAGGAGCGCAGCAAGCCGTAAACCGTAAGTCCTGGCCCCTTCTCCCTTTCTTCCTGCTTAAGTTAGTACTAAGGAGCTGGAAGGTTGTGCTGCTTGCTTCTTTGCTTTTTCTTTGTTCTTAGTTACTGTTGGGTAATTTCTTTATTGGGGTGGGGTGTTTGTCTGAATGCCATGGCACATGTGGAGATCAGTTCTCTGTGCCATGCAGGTTCTTAGTAAGTGCTTTATCCACTGAGCCACCTCACCAGCACTCTGTTGGCTTTCCTTTAAAGACTGGAATATTTGCTGAGCATAAGCGGGTTTGTGGGAGTGTGTTTGGGGATGACGACCCAGACCTGAGCTCGGTGCTCAGCACCTGGAGTGGTCGTGTTTAGGATTGTGGAAATAGCTGTTGCCTTAGGGCCCTCTTCTTCCTTCTGCAGAGATGGTGCCAAATGATATTCAGTCTGAATTGAAACACTTATACGTGGCTGTTGGAGAACTTCTGCGTCATTTCTGGTCCTGTTTTCCTGTTAATACACCATTCCTAGAAGAAAAGGTTAGAAATGATTGTAAATACAGCCAGCTACTCTAGTAATGACTGTGTGCCAGGTAATTACCATGTGCCAGGATAGTATAGTATAACTGTTAGACTCAATACCCATTTCATAGATTAGGAGACTGAGTCATAGCAGATACATAACTCAGAGCATAATTTGGAACACCGTACATCCAGACCATAAGTAATTGGAGAGCAGAGACTCAGCACAAGTCACTGTTTATTTGGTACTTTCGTTATTGACCAAAATTAAAAATAAAGACTGGTAACGAATAGTACTGGGTTGGATTTTTTTTTTTGTACTGCTAGGGTTAATTCCAGAGACTTATGCATGCTACACAAGTGCTTTACCACTATTAAAAGGCAATTAACAAATAATATTTGTTGCTATGGGCGGTGGTAGCACACACCTTTAGTCCCAGCACTTAAGAGGCAGAGGCAGGTGGATCTCTGTGAGTTCGAGACCAGCCTGGTCTACAGAGTGAGTTCCAGGACAACCAAGGCTACACTGAGAAACCCTGTCTCAAAAAGCAAAAGGGGGGGAGGGGGAGAAAGTTGCAGAGGATCTGAGTTTGTTTCCCAACACCTATGGTAGCTCACAACCATCTATTCCAGTTCCAGTAGATGCCCTCCTAGTGAGGGCACCAGGCAAAACACTCTAAAAGTCACTTAAGAGATGAGGTGAGTAAACATTAAGGAAATTAAAATGTATATAAATATTTAGCTAGAGGAATGAATGTTCTAGTGCCACTATGTAAGATTGAAGAGTGAAATGGCTCTAATGTCTACCAGAAGGGGATTTGGCTAAGAAAGTACATAGTTTGTTTGTACATTCAAACATTGTGTGGCCATTTAAAACAGTGATTCTGAAGCCAGCTAAGGTAGCACCTTTGATCCCAGCACTCAAGAGGCAGAGGATGGCAGATCTACCAGTTCAAGGCCAGCCTGGTCTACAAAGAGTCCAAGACAGCCAGGGCTGTTTGTTACACAGAGATTGAAACAAGTATTAAATGAATGAAAGGTGTTCACATTAAGTAAAGAGAAATTTTAAAATAGTATGAACTGCTTCTCTGCATATGTTTACGCACGCATGGCTGAATATGTGGAATATGAATTACAGGCATCACTGTTAAAGATAATTGAGTTTCTCCATAATCCATTGTTTCTCGTTTGTAGGTGGTGAAAATGAAGAGTAACTTGGAACGGTTCCAAGTCACAAAGCTCTGCCCATTCCAAGAGAAGATTCGGAGGCAGTATTTAAGCACAAATGTAAGCCCAAACTTTCTGCCTCTTCGTATTGAACGGTGAAATTAACTTTGCTTTCACATGAATGGCTGCATTGTTCTTTTCTTTGCTCAGTATACTATTTTTAATTTTAAAATATGCTGTATATTAAAAAAAAAAGAGTATATAAAATACATGGACCTAAACTAGCCTGAACTACATAGTAAGAGACCAGATAATGGAAATACTGAGTACACCATCCAGTTGTACAGCAGTGTCTCCCACCAGCATTTAAAAGGATCGTCCCAACAGGTGATGGTAGCATAGTCTTTATCCCCAGCACTTGGGAGGCAGAGGCAGCTGGATCTCTGTGAGTTCCAGGGCTACACAGAGAAACCCAGTCTCAAAAAAACAAAAACAAAGAATTATCCCAATGTTTTCTTTGTTTTTATTTTACATAGTTGCGAAGGCGGGGCAGAAGTATTTGTATGCCATACTCAGAAGACAACTTTCAGAGTCTGGTCTCTCTAGACTAAGTGGAATATAGGGATCAAACTCCCATTTGTTAGGCTTGACTCCAAGTGCCTTTCTTTACCCACCAAGCCCTCCGAATTTTCTTGATAGATTTACTAAGTATATACTCCTAAAAAATCTGTTACTAATTTTGAGAACCTGATTAGCATTCACAAATGTGCCAGTGAAGGACAGGCAAACTAAATTGTTGATGACAGGAAGCTGAACTGTCACTGAATGGTGCTTTACAGCGGTGCAGGCCAGTGACTGGGCAGATTGTTTTGCACAAGCTCTTTAGCATTGTTTCTAAGCAAAAATAGAGCAAATGTAGAAGAGATTCCTTCAAGGGATACTGGTTGGTGAGAAATAGTAAATGCAAACATAACCTCCAGCATTTCAATAACTGGGCTGATCAGAAACAGGGTTTTGCAGACTCTTCATCACTTGTTATTTTTCCCGGGAAGCTTTGAGTGTCCCCACAGGCTAAACACACTAAGCATGGTCTTTGCCCTCTGCTGCCTCAGCTGATTCTGTTGCAGCACTGTGTGAGGATTCTTAGGCCATGTGTAGCCACATGGTAGGATGTGGAACAGATCTCTCTGGTACCGTAAAGCCACTGCTACCTGTGGAACCAGAAAAGGAATTGTTACATTTTCCAGACAGAGATAATGACACCTCTCCTTCCCTATAAAATGGGACTCTAGAGGCAGCGGATGCTGAAGATTGAATCTGCACATCCTAGGCAAGCACGCTCCTCTGCCTTGCATTTCAAACTGGGGTGGAGACATGCTAAAGTCTCTATTTTAGATCAGAGTCACTGACTTCTAAAAGAGCTAGAACCCCAAGTCTACCCTTCCTCCTAGAATGATAAAACTAACCATGTGAACATTCACACCTTTACAGAAACACATTCCAAGGCTTTCTAACCTCAAGAGTTAGTATGATCTTTGACTTGACTTGTTAGATCCATGGAGGCAAAACTCTTCAAAGGAGTATAAAGACAGGCCTGTGAGCCTGCACTCAGACAAAGGCCAGCCTGAGCCTCCCATGGTGAGACCACCTTTCAGGAAAAACAATGTTGCTACTGCCATCCTGGCCTTTCTTTAGCTGACCATAGAAATCAACTTTGTTTGACTCATTGCGCATAAGAAGGAAGCCTGCAGTGGAGTGATAGCTCCCACATGTTGGTGCTGCTTAATGGCCAGGTGTACATGACCCAGACAGAGCAGGTGACTGTCTAGACACTCACTGTACCTACCGCCTCTCTTGTGCACACGTGTGTGGTTGCACCTGTGTTGAGGGCTTGTACAGCACCTTGTTGACTGAGATGTGCTGGGTTTGGGTGTGAAGCTTCAGCTTCCCTGACTGCTCACTCGAGTGTCTCCCTGTGACTTTCAGCTGGTAAGTCACATAGAAGAGATGCTGCAGACAGCCTACAACAAGCTTCACTCGTGGCAATCACGTCGTCTGATGAGGAAGACGTGAAGCATCCTTGGTGCTCACAGGGTTTGTGGGTGGAGAAACTGGCCTGCAGTGACTCTGGAACCCGGCTGAGGACAAGCAGATGCTTACACCGGGCACATCTGCTGCATGCCCACTCCCAGAGCCAAAAGAAGGAAGGGACGGATTCACCTAACTCTGGGGAGGCAGACTAAGGCAGAACCAAAATGAGCTAAGTTGCAAATATATATGTATGTGTACATGTACATGTATTTAAAGACTGTTTACAGCAGTTACTCAGAAACTGCTTTTGATTCACGTTAAGCTGCTTTCAAAAATTAAAAGAAAAAATAATTTTAAAAAAATACTTAAAGGGTGCATTGATTAAAAAAAAAACATTTTTGTTTTCTGGGTAAATTTTTTCTCTTAAGTTTATGCACAGGGTAACCCTAAGTATTCCTCCTCCATCCCTCACCAGGACCCTCAAATATTACTGAGTTGTACTTGTCCCTTACATCAGCACATTAAAGAGAGTACTTTACATAAGGCTAAGGGAGGCTGTAGCTCAGCCATCAGGAAACAGTTGTCAGAAGACGTCATTGGTCCTGCGTTTCCTACGGAAATAAATATTGCACTGAAGTGTGCTCTCGGCCCCAAGTGAAAGGCATCCTCGTGCCGGATGTTGTCAGGCGACAGTGATGCTGCATGTATTTCTTGGGTGCAAATGTATATTGCTGATAATTTTTTAAAGATGGCATGTGCTTTGAAAAGAAGAAATTGCATTTTTAAGAGTTTAAAAATCTTACAAGTGAGAAATATAAGAATTGCTATTTTCACCTGTTTAGAAGAAATAAAGGAAGTTTCTCATACCTGCTCTTCTTGGTGTCTTGAGTGCTGCTGTCCTGGCTAGATGGTAATTACTGCAGAGTCACAGAAGAGTCTAAATGTGACACTGACATAGGTAGCACCTGTGTTGTTTCCAAAGTCCATGCCACCTCCTGCCTCTGCAGACTGCTGTAGATACTTGTATTAAACACTGTACAAAAGCAACATCTCCACAGGTGCTGTGCCCCTTTAACTGGACACTGCTGTGGTTTCTTGTTCTGAGAGAGCTTATTTTTTTCTTTTGAGTCAAGGTCTTGTCCTAGTTATTCTGGAATTCACCATATAGACCCGGCCAGCCTGCTGAGGTTAAAGGGGTGTGCCACCACTGCCTGGCTCCACACTGATTATTCATTTTTGTTGTTGTCTCAAGAGGGTTTCTCTGTGTATCCCTCACTATCCTGAAATTCACTCTGTAGACCAGGCTGGCCTTGAACTCAGAGATCCACCTGCCTCTGCCTCCTGAGTGCTAGGATTAAAGTACTGTGCCACCTTGCCTGGATCATCACACTGGTAAGCGTAGGCTCTGAACCGGTAAATGGAAGAGAGGCCTCATCATTTCATCCCTTTACAGAGTGCTTTTCTGCCATGTTACTAACACAGTTACTCAGAGTAATAGCCATAAAGCAAATAAGGAAAAACATTTGAAATGAGGAAGATGTCTGTTGGGAAAGGCAGGCATAAGCAAACCAGTGGAGTGTTAAGAGGAAATGATATTGCAGTGGGTGTGGTGGTGCACACCTTTAATAGCAGCACTCTGGGGGCAGAAACAGATGAGCTCTTAAATTCAAGGCCAACCTGGTCTACATCAAGAGTTCCAGAAGCGGGGGGCTACACAGTAAAATTGTCTTAAGGAAATTTAAAAGAAAAAAAAATGAAATGATACACATAAAGGAGCTTGAGGAAGAACAGACAAGTTTAGCAAATTGGAATAAACACCATTAAAAATTTTTTGCCATTTATTTCTGTAATCCCAGCAATCAAGGTGGAAACTGGACCTTCCAGAGACCCATGGCAGTCTGAGCTACAAAGTAAAACCTATAACATTCCAGCTAAGCCTGGGGGTTAAGGCGTTATGAAGGAAATCATTTGTTCTAGGGAGGAGCATGCTGAAGGTTTCAAAGACTCCCAACTTCAAGAGGAACAAGGAAAATATGTTAAAATTGGAGATTTGGGCATAGTTAGCCTGTAAAGGATGGGTGGGGGTTGGGGCTAATTGTTCTGTTTGAAATGGTCTTGCTATATACTTAGGCTAATCTGGACCTCTGTGTAGATGAGGTGGCCTGGAATTTGCAGTGTCTCTCTGCTACCAGACCTAGCTTAGAAACATGGCTTTATTCTAATTGTAAAGGGCTCTGTATGCCCAAGCAAGAGATCCGTGCCCCATGTGTTAGGCATGGCAGAACGGGAAGGGAAGGTTTGAGGATGAAGTTGCTTCTATGGGTTGGCTGTGATTTAGATCAAAGGCCTGACAGATGAGGAAGCCAGAACCTTCCATGCTTTGGAGTAATTGGGACTCGAAAGATGAGAGGGGCGGAGCCCTATCGGCAGAGCAGGAGAGGACACCTTCAGGGGCTGGGTGTGCAGCTTAGTTGTCTAGCATCTGACACAGCAGAGACCCTAGATTCAGTTCCCGGTACCACCGCAGCCATGGTGGTGCCCTGTTATATGAGGGGGCAGGAGCAAGGATAGAATGACCAGTGTGGTGGTCTTGAGAGAGTTCCAGGACAGCCAGGGCTGTCTCAAAGGAAAAGAAAAGGGACCACTAGTATCACCCCACTCTCCAAATTCTGGCAGACAGAGGTAACGGCCATATCTCACTCCCTTTTCAAACAGCCGGTAAGGCAGAGGGTACTCAAGATTGCTCTACAGATTAGAACAGATTTGGAGTTTAGAGGGCTGGAAAGATGGCTCAATGGTTAGGAACACTGCTGCTCTAGCAGAGGGATCAAGTTGGATTCCCAGAAGCCACATAGTAGCTCAAACTGTTCATTACTCCAGTTCCAGGGTGTCTCTTGGGCACCAGCATGCACAAGGCAGCACACTTAATACAGGAACATGCATACAACGTAAAAATATAAGATATAGAGAATAAACATAATATAGAAATAGTCTTAACTTTTAGGTTGGGATTTACCCTGAACTGCAGAGCCTTCTCCAGTCACTTGGAAATGAAGTATCCGACAGAGCAGTCATCCCCAAGCTCAGGCTGTCACACTCTCTTTTCATTTGGCCATCCTGCTGTGGCCTTGGCTCTGGTTCTATTCTCTGCAGAGCTCGCTCCGTGGCCACCTGGTGGTAGAGCCCATGAGCTGCAAGTTGGAATAGTTTGGAAAGCATGTCTTGCCTTCTGCAAAGAAGCTGACAGAGTTAACTAAGGTCAGTAGGGTTAGTCATACTATGTGACCTCGTGATATTTCCTTTGGTCTGAAACTATACAACATAGGAAGCTCAAAAGGTGATGGGTGGCTGGTTACCCGGGAAGTACCTTCCTGTGCTGCCTAGACCAGAGCCAGATGGAAAGCTGCCTGTTTTAAACTTAGAACTGTCTCCAGTGTCTGGACTTGCCTGGGATTCCTCAGGGTTACCTCTGCCCTTTCCCAGTTTAACTTGTTCAAGACTCAGCTGTTCGAGGTCTAGAGGCCAGGGCAGTCTTAGTTATTTTCAGCCCTTAAAGTGCCCAGAGCTGGGACATTGCCTTAACCTGATTAAGGAGCGATTAGCCTTATGTGTGTAATCCTCCTCCGTGTTTGGATGGGTATTAAAGTCCCGGGAGAACCTGGGAACCTTGTCATCTGGTGTTCTCAAACTATAGGTTAAGACCCAGCCCCTTGCCAGGCAGGGTGACATACTTGTGACTGTAGCACTAGGGAGGCAGAAGCTGACGGACCACTGCAAGTTTCGGGCCAGCCTAGCCTCTGTCACATAAGCTCTGAGCCGCCCAGGGCTATGTGGGAATACCTGGTCTTTAAAGATAGGGGCTCCTCCCACCTCCCATGCAATACAACATGAATTTCCTCTCCAGCCACTTGACCACCATGCTTGGGAGTGGCTGAAGTTGAAAATACAGATAAATGCTGTATTATTACTAACCTGTTGTCACAGAAAAGAAAAAAAAAATAGCACACTTGCAAATTTAAGTCCTAATGCACCAATTAGAGTTATAAGCAAATCGGAACAAGGCTCGCCTGCCTGCTGGTGATAGCCAGGAAGTGGGTACTTTCCATGGACTTGCCTTCTCGTGTGCCCCTCTGTAGTAACTGAGTAAGGAGCCACCGTGAAATGCCTATTACTGCCCAGTGATGACCACTTAAAAGCCCTTAATTTCAGCACTCAGGAGGCAGAGACAGGCAGACCTCCCAGTCTGCTCTCCTGAGTGAGTTCTAGGACAGCCAGGGCTGCATAGAGAAACCCTGTTAAAGGTGCCAGGTGTTGTACACGCTTGTAATCCCAGCACTAGGCAGAAGGGGGTCAGGAGTTCAATGCCATCCTCTCTGTGCTGGCTAGTTCTTAATGTCAACCCGACACAAGCCAGCTTCGTTTTTGAAAAGGGAACCTCAAGCGAGGAAACGCTCCTGCCATATTGGCCTGTGAGCAATCTGTGATGAATTTTCTTTATTGATGGTGGAGGGCCCAGCTCACTGTGGGCGGGCCACAGAAGGACTGTATGGACGCAGGTTGAGCAAGCCAGTAAGCAACACTCCGTGGCACCCACAGGTAGAGCAAGTACTTAATTTGATGGTGCTCTCGGTTCTTCATTTGTAAAAATGGGCATGATAGCATGACTCAGATTTATTGTGAAGATTAAATGAACTAATAAACATTAGTGCCTGTGCCCAAGCGAGAGGTCCACAAGCGGCCTGTTGTTTATTAAAACGTTATCACCGACCATCTCCAGGCTGCAGGCCAAAGCTCATTAGCTCTACCTGGCATGATTCAGCTTTGGTGGGGAGATAACTTTTTTTAGCAAAGCTATAAATGTGCGTGGTTTAAATGGTCAAAGGGGACAAAAGGCACATGAGGAAACATCGTGTCTGCCGACCTCTTGTCCCCCACCCCTTACCTGTCTGTCAGGCCGCCCTGCCTTCTCTATTCCGCTTACCCATCCCCTGACTCTGATGGCAGCTAGCCTGGTCCTGTTTTTAAACCACACTCCCTTTCTCCTCGTGCTCACTAGCTCAGTGTTGTTTGTTTGTTTGTTTGTTTTTTGAGACATGGTTTCTCTGTGTAGCTTTGGAGCCTGTCTGGGACTCGCTCTGTAGACCAGGCTGGCCTCGAACTCACAGAGATCCTCCTGCCTCTGCCTCCCGAGTGCTGGGATTAAAGGCATGCACCACCACCGCCTGGCTAGCCCAAGATTTTGTTTTGTTTTGTTTTTTTAAGATTTTATTTATTTATTATGCATACAGTGTTCTAGAGAACACTAGATCTTATAGATGGTTGTGAGCCACCATGTGGTTGCTGGGAATTTGAACTCAAGACCTCTGGAAGAGCAGCTTAACCTCTGAGCCATCTCTCCAGTCCTAGCCCAGTGTTTCCTAAAGCTTGTTTAGCACGATTCAGTATTAAGAATAATAAATGCAGCTGGGCCATGGTGGCACACACCTTTAATCCCAGCACTCAGGAGGGAGAAGCAGGCGAATTTCTGAGTTTGAGACCAGCGTGGTCTACAGAGCCAGTTCCAAAACAGCCAAGGCTACACAGAGAAAACCTGCCTTGAAAAAAAAAATAGTAAACACAAATGAATGTGGTTCTTTTTTAAATTATTTTTATTAGAGCTGGAGAGATGACGACTCCGTAGTTAAGAGTACTGACTACTCTTCCAAAAGACCGGGTTCGATTCCCACATGGTCACTCACACTCACTACTGCCTATACCTACAGTTCCAGCGGATCCAGTGCCCTCACACAGACATAAGTGTAGGCGAAACACCAATGCACACAAAATAAAAATAATTGAACCATTTTAAAAATTACTTTTCTTTTAC